GCCTGATCCTCTGGTTGACTTTTAATTAATTAGCGATGGCTTCTGAGATTATCCGTTCCATGACCTTCCCTGGCACCAAGGTGAGACTGATAGGTTTGTAGATACCAGGATCATCTTTCTGGCCATTTCTGAATATTGGTATCACACTTGCTAGCCTCCAGTCCACCGGGACATTCCCAGTTAGCTAGGGCTGTCGAAGGATGATGGAGAGTGGTTTGGCAACCACATCCATTAACTCCCTCGGCACTCTAGGGTGCAATCCATCTGGCCCCAAGCACTTGTGAGTGTCTAGCTTTCAGAGCAGGTTCAAAACCATGTCATCATGGATAATGCTGGGCCTGTTCTGTTCCCCACCCCTCTCTTCCAGCACAAGGGGCTGTGTGACCAGGGAACAACTATCTTACTATTAAAGACTGAGGCAAATAAGGCACTAACAAGGGGAAATGGCCTTAAGTTGCGCCAGGGGAAGTTTAGGTTGGATATCAGGAAAAACTTCTTTACAGAAAGGGTTGTTAAGCACTGGAATAGGCTCCCCACAGAGATGGTTGAGTCACCATCCCTAGATGTGTTTAAAAACCTTTTGGATGTGGTGCTCAGGGACATGATTTAGCAGAGGGTTGTTAGGGTAGTATGGTCAGGCTGTGGTTGGACTTGATGATCTTAAAGGTCTTTTCCAACTTGAACAATTCTATGATTCCATGATTCTATGATTCTATGAAGTACCTCAGCCTTATCTTGATCCTTGGTCATTGTGTTCCCCTCTGCATCCAACAAGGGATCAAGATTCTCCCTAGCCTTCCTCTTGCTGTTAATGTTTATAGAAATATTTATTGTTGTCTGTCACCTTAGTGATCAAGTTCAGTTGCACTTTGGCCTTACTAATTTTCTCCCTGCAAAGCTCCACTGCATGTTTGTAATCCACACAAGCTGCTTGCCCCCTCTCCATAAGAACGTAAACCTTCCTTTTGTTCCTGAATTCCAGCCAAAACTCACTGTTCAGCCAGACCAGTCTCCTTCCCTATCAGCTCCTCTCATGACTTAGAGATGATCAGCTCTTGCACCTTTAGAATTACTTCCTTCAAGTATTCCCAGCCTTCCTGGGCTCCCAAGCCCTCTAGAACTACCTCCCAAGGGACTCTCTCAACTACGGTCTGAAAAAGACCAAAGTGTGTCCTCCAGAAGTTCAAGGTGGCAGTTCTGCTGACTCTTCTCTGTGCTTTAACAAGGATTTAAAAATGTATCATTTAATGATCCCTTTGCCACAGACATCCTCCAAAATTTACATCCCCAACAAGATCTTCTCTGTTAACAAGCCACAGGTCCAGAAGTTTGGTTCCCCTTGTTGGCTCCCTCACCATCTGTGTCAGGAAGTTATCCCCCACACACTCCAAGGAACCTCCAAGACTGTTCTCTTTCTGCTGTATTATAAATCCAGCAGATGTCTGGGAAGTTGGAAGTTCCTCAAGAGAACAAAGGGAGACCTCACTCAACTGTCTGTTAAAGTATCTCACCCACCTCTTCATCCTGATTGGGTGGCCTGTAGCAGACTCCCAGAATAATGTCAGTCTTATTGGCCTTCCTCTTGATTCTGACCCATAAGCTCTCAACTCTATCATCATCATTACTTTCCAGACATTCACAATTTTTCTTAACAGAGGGCCACACCACTGCCTTTCCTGCCTTTTTGAAAAGTTGGTAGTCACAGCACTCCAGCCGTGTGAGTCATCCCACCACACTTCCACGATGGTGATAATATCATAGTTCTTCATTTGCACAATGGCCTCCAGCTGCCTTCCTTTTAATGAAGGCAGAAGATTCAAGAGATTCAGAAAACCACAATGTATAGGACTGATGTAGGTATGGGTACATCCACATTTAATCTTTGTACCTATAAAAATATAGGTGCTGGTGGAACATGAGAATATATTGCTGGTTTTTTTAAAATAAAATTAGGCAGATGTAACAGAGGAGCTGACTCTCATAACTGACAGTATTGATTAACCACCAGCTGATATTACTAGGAAAAAAAGCTAACTAAAAAAAACTTGTTAATCAACAGTTATTTAGCATTTGCTTTTAAAACTTTCAATGAAGACATTTGTATTATTGTCACAGGCGAGATTCAGGACTAGCCAAACTTATCTAGCATGATTAGTTCCTATGTTTGTCAAAAATAAGTAATTCATACTGATAATTCTCTAGTTTCCATTTTGCACTCATTTTTTTTTAATATTCCTAAGTGAAGGTACACTTTACAGTCATTTTTCAGCTTTCTAGTAATTTGTTTGCATGGGAAAGATTCCACTTTCAGCATGTTTTTATGTTTTCTCAGCCAATCACTAAGTTTAAAAGAGCTTTTATAACCTAACAGGATGTGATACCACTTCATATCCAACTTAGGTAAAGCCCATTTTATGCCCCAACAAACCTTCGGACTTCCAATGGAGTGATTAGTAGATCAGCCAAAGACACTCCATTCTTAGAGGCTGACTCAGTCGCGCAGAGCCACTTGATTCTCCAGCTCCTCTGCTCATGAGTAATACTAAGTGCCAGCTGAAAGCTGGAGGCCAGGGTCTCACTGTGTTCTTTCCCTCCCCCCACTCAGTGCGGCTCTTCCTTGATGCCACATGCTGAAGAAAAGCAGGCTGACAATGGGTGCAGATGATGAGAGCTTTCATGAGTAGGCCAGCTACACCACACTTGCCTGAGATGAGATTTATCTAGACAAACTGTAGCCAAGAGTCTGGCTTTGTATGTACCACCCATGCTCTACTTTCAGTCTGTGCAAACTACTCTGAATTCCGGCCACAGAAGTAGTAACTTCAGTATAAGAACTGTCATCAGCTGCAGAACTGGAGAAAGAACACCTGCTAATTCGTGTTGGACTGACGCAATGAATGTAATAAAAAACCGTACTGTTATTAGTTCTGGTTTTCAACAAAAGACAAATTATTTATTTGTTTCTTCAAATGAAGCATAACACTAAGGTATAAAGGGTGTATAAATAACATCTGATTGTGCTCCTAAGCTCCATGCTATAACTTTCTTGCAATGACATCCTTCAACAAATTAACTACATCATTACTGTTAAGTATTAATTGCACAAAACAGATACACAAAATATATAATGAGCTAGAAGGAGGACAACATTCTTCCATAATGACAAACAACTGTAACAAGAAATGGAAAAAAAACAAGATTTAGGCTTACACAGATGGCAACACTGAGAGTTTTAAGTCCTCTCTTTGAACACATTACATGTGATAAATAATATGCAAAATACTTAAAGAATTTTGTTGTTGCTTACAGAAGATACTTAGCAAGCAAAGAGCCAGTAGCAACCACTGCCTCATGTTTCATATCCCCATCATTCAATGCAAATTTTTACATTTCATGCAGTAATCCTGAGCTTATTTTCAGTAACATTGAAATGTCATCTATGTTAATTACCAAATACACACAGAACCCAACTATGGGGTCTATTGTATTATTAAGGCATGAAAAAAGAATAACAGTTTATCAGCTCTGAATGCCGCAAATATAGCACAGCAGTTAGAAGGCTCAAAAAAACTCAAAAAGTATCAGTGATGTCTGCGACAAGGCTCACCCAGAACATGGCTGTGAATCATCAGCTTCTAAAAAGATAACAGCATCAAATCCTGGCCTTGCTGACATCAGAGTTTTGCCATTGCCTTGACTGCTGGACCAAGCTTCAGAGCTATCAGGAGTAACTCAAGTCTCCTTTTCATATCCCCAAAAAATTGACAAAATTCCTCTCACTCAAGTCAAGTATGAATTTAAAAACCACTACTATTAATTAGTATTTTAAGTCTATGGTAAGATTCTATTATACAGCATGGCAAGTAGTAAAAAGCCTTTTCAGGAAGTGTTTATTTGTTAGTCTGATTTATTGGTACTTTAAAAGAAGGTGGAATTAGCATGAAAAGCACTTCTGCCAAATTTATGTTGCATTTATAACTTACTTTTAATCTGTAAGTAAAGGCTTTGGAAAGCCAAACACAGGGTGTATAATGCAGTTCTACTGTCCATGGTTCAATATTTCTTCTCAAAGATGAAGAACACTAAAGTCATCAAGAGAAGAACTCATCTGCATAAACTTTAGTATCAGAGTTGTACAGTTCTCCATGTACTGTTTTACATAAGAAATTATTGCAAAATGCCCTGTACTGAGCCAAGGTATTCCAGTTCAATTAAGACATTGAAACTGAAGCCAAATTGGTGGCAAGTTTCACTTTACTCTTGCATTATATCCCACAATGGATCTACAATAGCAAATGATCTTCTAATGATTCTGCTACTGCTAATGCCTGCCCCCCGTGCAGATATTTGCCTAATAGAGCACAGAGTCCACAGATCCAGAAATCTTATCCTTCACGTGAACACAGCCTGTGCTCTATTGTAAAAAGAACCATGGAATGCAGGAGGGACAAAGCTGTGTAAAAGCATCTGTGCATATTCCTTTCCATGCCTGCACTCCCTGCATACACAAACAACCGTCTGACAAAGATGGTGGCATCCAATTTTATTAGTGCAAGGCTTTGAAGAACTTAAAAGATGCACAAATACAGTATAGCTAATATCATCTAAAATATCATTATAATATTGAAAAAAAAAAAAAAAAGGTTTGTCACAATAAACCATTCAAAATATTCTCATTTGAGAAAGGAGGTGAAAAAAAGTTGTTGCATTTAGAATTAATGGGTTAGATTTCATGTGATTTTTGGTTAATTTACACTAACAAATAATATAAAGAAGGCTAAGGCTATGAACTGTTACTGTTTCATTTATAAATATCCACTTCTCCTCTAAAAAAAAAATTGTTACAGAAAAAAGCGGCCAGAACGTTTACGTATGTTGTAAACTGTAATTTGGTTAAGTTAAGCTGTAAAAACCAAACATGTAAGTGAAGTTGAGCACAGTGTAAGAAAAAGCCATTTTTTTTTAATTAACAACTTATTTACAAGTTTAATCAACTAGAGTACATGTCCTGTGTTTGTCACCAATGTTTTATTGTAACTGGTAACTTACACACTTTATAGCAGAACAACAAAAAGAAAAGTTCACTATATCAGCCTTTGTACAGGCTACTTGACTATACACAAGGCATAGTGATCATAATACAACCTAGTCTTCATAATAATTTGTGCACGAAAAGACACCAATCAGATGTTATGTGAACATTACAGTGAAATGACATCACAAGTCCAGTGAAAATTCAGTATAATACAAAACATTTATCCACTGCAAATGACATCTTTTTAAACAACAAGCCTTTACTCAGTAGTAACCTAACCAGAGTCTGATGCAGAAATTTGTTGTGTAGTTATAAGTCTTTTAAGTGAAGCAACCTCTGCAGATAAGTTTGCTATGCCCTGCTTCAAATACAGGTTCTCAGACTCCGAGACATTGTAGACATTGTCTTTTATTTCAACTCCAGTTTTGCAACCATTCTGAATTTTTACATTGAGTTCTTTTTGATGCCAAAGTTCTGGTTTGAGTGACCAGTCTTGGATATTCGTCACCTGAACTGAGAAAGGAGTGTGAGAAGAATGCACCAAGTTCTGTGCACCATGTTTTTCAAGCTCAAAATGTCTTTTTGAGGACATATCGATAGGCGATGACAATTTCTGTGTGGCATCATAGTCATTATCCATTGCTTCCACTTTAACTTGCATGGCTTTGGCTTTAATTCGAAGCTTGTGAGGCAAAGCAGAAGAATTCACTTCTGGAACTTTAACTGTTGCGTGAACATTTTTATGTTCAACTGGAGAATGGATTGGACCCTTAGGAACCTGCTGCTCATCTTCTCCATCAGATGACTTTCCTACAACTCCATCATCAGTTTCTGAAGTTCTAGGGGAATTACTGGAGGACCTATTAACTTGCAAGAGAGGAGGAGAATGTGAGTACATATTGAAGGTAGTTCCCATGTAGTTTGGATATATGGATGCTTTGTATGAACCTCTGTCATCTCTTGGCTCTCTCTCCAATTCCATAGGCTCCTGTTTTATTATCTGGAACTTATTTTCAGGACTTCTGCAGTTGCTTTGTATACAACTTGCTTGAGCATGCTCTACTGATGACGTTTCAGACATATCTGACATAGAGCTTTGAGGAGAATGCTTAATGACAGAAATACAACTGCTACCAACTACAGATGGCTCATGTTCATCTACAAATGAGTTAATGTTTGGTTTGGAACTTTGATAGTCTTGGAAATACACAGTTGTTGAGCTACTGAGTTTCTGTATCTCTTGGGCATAGGCTGCAGAACTAATTAAACCAAACTTTAGCTTCAACGAAAGCAGCTCCGCCTTCAAAGTGGCATTCTCCTCTCCCAGTGCAATTAGTTTGTTCTCTAAGACAAGGTCATTCAGTCGTCGTTTTTCACGAGACCTTTTGGCAGCTTCGTTATTTTTCCGCCTTTTCTCCCAGTACATCGCATCTTTCTTTTCATCTGGAATGAATTCTCGCTTTCTTCGACAAGCTGAAGATTTGCTTTTTCCACTACTTGCTTCAGTAAGTAGTATATCTTCATTTGTAGACAACTCTTCAGACACTTCTGCTAAAGTAGATTTAAGTACCATGATTTTGTCCACATTGCTACTCGTGTCAACAGGTCCGTGTTCCTTTTTAAGGGTCTGCATTTTTCTCAGCTGCATCAGAAACAATTTGTAGTAGATCTACAGTGAGCAATAGAGCAAGCTATTTCTCCAGTACTTCTCACTCCACAACTTGTTAAATACAACAGTTTTAAATCCACACACATTCTTCTGTTTGTTTCATAGTTTCAAACAAAAGCTCCCAGATCCAATTTTTTGGTAGAACAAACAGGAATCTTCTGGGGAAAAAAAAAGAACCTGGAAAAAGCAGAGAAGTTGATTACTATTTAGAAACCACTGATTTGAGGAATGCAAAAGTAACATTAAAAACAGTAGCATTAGGTTTGTTAAACCTGCTGTTGCCTGAAGGAGGATCAATGCTGAAGCAACTAATACTCTGCACTCTACCTAGGTAGCAGATTTGCTTCCAAAGCAAATACAATGTGATCCAGAGAGGAAGAAATAAAATCAATTTTAAAAGTGGGTTTTGATGCTACTATAACGCAATGATAGAACATTTTGTGGTATCACTGACCAACTTCAACCTTTAATACTTAACACTGGAAGACACTAGGCACATTCATGAGCAGCACTGGGACGTATCCTGTTCCTCTACATTAAAATATCTCTTCTGAAGATAGTTGTGGTGCCTGACTTAGAAATGCTCTGCATGCGAGTTCTTCATGGATTAAAAAATAAATTGATTTAGAGATACTGGAGTGCTTTCGATTGTCTTAAAATCACAGCACTATCCATTGAAGCTATTAAAGATGTAATGATTGGTTTTGTACCCTGTAAAAAATATAAACAGATATACATACCTAAATACAAATGTTTATTCACATACATGGGGTTCTAACATGCTTTTTTTTTTTTTTAAAATCAATCATACTGACTCAAACAAGTAAACAAAATTCTGACATCTGCCCGTTAAAAAAAAAATCTGATGAAGAAAATGCATTAGGTAATTTTTTTCTTACCTCTTACAAAGAAAACACTTAAGCCAGTGTTGAAAAATACATTAGAGAATAAACATTAACATAACTTGATAAGTAGTTTTGTTATATCAAAGTAATGTTTAATACTACTGAGGCATGCACATCCTTGAAAAGCAGCGTTTACAGTGAAGTAAAAGTTTAGATGTAAAAGTCTTGCCACTAGCAAAGAAAACTAGATAACATTTAGCTTAAGACACTTTGATCATTAAAAACGAACTCAGCACTTAAATGACTTTTTTTAAATTTAGTCCCTCTTAAAGCAAAAAAATACTTCATCATTAGATCTTGACCTGAGATACAGCTTCTCACTATCTCATTTTCCAGTCAGTCACATTCCTGGTAAAATTAATATAGCATACAAATAGTTTTTATAGCACTCACTATTGCATCAGCACTGATTCTTGCCTCTACAATAACAGATAAGCTACTTGAAATTAGTATCACTACTTATCGGAAATGTTTTTACAATTGCTATTGATACTAATTTAAATATTATCAGTTTGGAAAGTCACAGAAGAATTAATAAATCTTATTCTGCCAGTTTCTCTTTTCCAGAAAGCAAAGAGAAGTGAATGATGTAATAACAATAAAGCAGGGTCATAAAGATTCAGGTTTCAGGCTGAGTTCTGTTCCATTAAACCACGACAATTCTTCTGTCACAAAAAATCAGCACATTTAATAGAACAGCTAAGTACAATTTCCTAAAATCCATAGTTAATTACTGACATGTAAGTATTTGTTTTCAATAATACAGACTTAATGGAAAATAGAGTTAGAAGCCAGCCACATCAAAGACATTGTCTAACGCTTCAGTGCAAGAGCAGCAACATGAATTTCTGTATTTGTAAAACAGAAAGTAATTACATAGTTAGATCCTGATCCAAACTTTTAACTGGTGTCAAAAGGAAATTTCTGTCAAGTTAAATAGCAGCTGAATCAGGTTTTTTTTTAAAAAAAAGAGCTCCACAACATAGCAACATCTGTTTTATATAAAATGTTGCTATCGTTTATATATATATATATATATATATATATATACACATATATATACACATATATAAAACATGAATGTGCTACGTTGTGTAACTTATTTTGTATATATACATATATAATGCATGGACTTTAAAAAGTAGAAGTAAGACAGATCACCAGAATTTCTTGTAAAATATTCATACTGTGTAAGGTGGTTTTACAAAACATGGAGAAAAATACTGAGATTTAATTTCATTATCCCACAGCACTGGGAACGCACAGCTACTGATCCACAGTCATCTTTACTCATCAGTCTTATTCACCTGTGCTATTAACAACGTACAGGCTTCTTTGGAAATGCATCCACCTTCTACGACACAGAAGTACATGCAGTTTAACATATACTGAGTACCTAAGAAATCATCACCTGTCTCTTAATATGAAACTCAATCAACTTTTATTAAGGCTAAAAGTGTTAAAAATTACTACTGTGGAATTTCAAGGCCTTACCAATGCAGGAAACTGACTGAATTTCACAATACTTGAGAGCTAAACTCAAAGCCAAGTAACACTCATTCTCTCAGGAAAGGGATATTAATGTGTATATTCCATTATTTTCTATGTATAGAACACAAATTCAAGATACCCTGGAACATCTACACTTACTTGAAACAGTAGCAGTGGCAAGGAAGTACTTATAAAACCGAGGGTTTATCCTTATTTCTGGAAGAATGATGCTACACATCTTTCAACACAAACGTGTTTTTTTTTCCCCCTCTTATACTCCAATCTTGCATTTCCACCCTGTAAAAGTCTTAAACATGACTACCCTGAGATAAGAACCATGGTTGTGTAGTTTCCAGCTCAAAGTTTATCCAACACTATTCACATCTGGGGAAAATACAAGAACTGAAAACAACGGATAAAAATAATTAGCAGAAAGTTTGTTGTTATTCCAAATGAACGTAGACTAATGACATACTTTGCCAGTAATACTGTTTGCGTATCAGTAAAAATTCAACTGCACGTTCAAACAATCTCAATGCTGGCACTGAGCTGCACTTAAAACCTAAAAGCACGCAGAGTTTGTATCCGTCAGATACAAGCCAGCCAGAGTCCATCAGTAAGGTTGTGAAAGACAGAAGTGTAACCCACTGGCAGTCATACTGAGTTGCTATTTATGTATTTCTTTCTAATGCCATTACTTCTGTGAACTTGCAAAACTACTGTAAATCTTTGTTCAGTGCTTTCCACCTTTTACTTGAGCTCTTATATCACAATAACTGGACTTGCTGTTTTAGCAAGCAGCAAGCTTACTCCAAGCAGGAGTAAGAGTTTGTTTTTTTTAATACATCTCCATGTGGATCAGACCAATACTAAGTCTGTAAACAAAGTAAATTCCATCTGATGACAATGGCAAAACACCTTCAATAAAAACTGCCATCTCATTTCACTTGCGTTTTACTATTCCACTGGAAAATGCAGTATTTATACATGAATTAATGAGCTGCAATTATTCCTCTGACAATACTTCAAATTCCAATATTTTCCCTTAGGATTAATTTTTCAATTGTTTTATCACTCCCTGATAAAGTATTATAAAACCAACATTTAACACTGCCTTACATTAGTCACCGTTGAATTATTTTTTTTTTACTTGGTTGATGTTAATGACATTGAGAGCCAATTCAACAATGCAGAAACACTCAACCCTATTAACTACAGACCCAGTCTTGCTCCCACAGCAATTACGCCATTGGCTTGAATAGAAGCAGGATACAATCCCAGTTCCAAGCATTAATGAGACTCTTTACAGAACTCATAGTACTGAAGCAAAAAATTATGCATACAGAAATCAAGAAAAGTATTTCTTGAGATCTGTGCATTAAGTGATCTGATTGAGTCAAAACAATACATTAAGGATCTGATCCTAGGGACTTCTGGATTCAGTAGGGAATATAGGGAATATAGGGAATTCTGGATTGTAGTATCTGAAATATTTCAAAAGGTTGTAGGACAGGTTCACAATCTGGCTTCTCTGTTTCATGTAATCTAATTACACAAGTCAGTTCTGCTCTTGAGAATGTACATGGGCTTCCACACATATATGTAAGTAATACACAGTTACTGTGTGTTACCCTGTGAGGTAACTTATCCGTTTTTATCAAAATATTATTTGTATTTATCAAAATAATTCATGTTCTCTCCAAGGATATATTTCAAAACAGATCCTGGAATAAGAAAGCTAATTACATTCTTCTGATAGACTTATCAAGCAAAATTAAATACTATTTCTAATAATTGACTGCTGTCAAACAAACTTCACTTTTGTGTGGCCAAATGCATCTCACAATCCTGCGAAGTGCAGAAATACATTAAAAGCTCACTAATAAATGCATGTGCATGCTTTTAGTTGCTGTTTCCCATGTTTTGCATAGGTTTTGTAAGCTATACTGCTGTCATTCTGTCACAGGTTATTTATTTTGAAAACATGTCTACACATCAGAAAAGCTACTGCAGAACCCACTCACAAGTAGTAAAATGCCAGATTGTATTCTAAACTTTGAAAAACTGAAGAACACACTTCATACTGTCATCTCCCAAATGTTTTAAAAACATTTGCTAACTATCTAAAGACTTTTATATGGTACAGAAAGATGATCATCCACATTGCTCACACAGGACACAAAGCCATGTTCGTAAGTTTTAATAGTGAACACATTGTAACACTGCTTAAACACTTTGGAACTACTCAACCTCTACAGTGAGCTACTCTACAGCTACTGGTTTTCCCAGACAAAAACTAAGCCACAGGTTTCTCCACATCTGTCGAGCTTAGAATAATTTGGAAATACTCTCCAGCTGAAGACATGACCCCCAAATCCAATTCCAATCTCCAATGAAATTGGAGACAACCCAGTGGGAGACAAGACACCTTGTCTTGTCTGTAAAACTATGCTCCTATTTAAGAAAAGCTTTAATGCTGCCTCCACTGGAATAGTGACTGATCCTGTCCCTAGGATGACTTACTGGGCAAGAGGGTCCAGGCAATTTAGAACAAATTAAGTTCAAGCTTTCTAGAAAGAAAAAAGATAAACACAATTTATGCTGTAACAGACAAGTTACCCAACATCACAGAAGGGAAGAGCACTAGAAATATGGATGTTATCATCAATTATTGCTATTACATAGCTACATTCACATATAGACCATGAATCCATCACAACAGCAAGGAGCAATACAGGACTACTGCTCCCACACAGAGCTCCCTTTTCTTACAACTTCATGGACATCTTAAGAGCTTACGGTTCCAGGATCAACATGTAATTAGGTCAGTGGAGCACTGATGATGATAGCTTTATACAAGATGACCTATTTTTTGCTAAAACGTTGATTTGCTCATTGAAAGTAACGGTACATGTCTAAATAATGTATTTCATGGAAACACCAAGAATCATTTCTTTATTATGATATTTTTCAATCACATCTTTAAAAGATGACTAAGCTCATAACTGGAATCAAAACAGTAATGCATTTTTGTATTACCCACCTCCAATCTGTACCCATAAAGTCACTGTCATACGTAATTTTTTTTTTTTTTTTTTAAGAGATTTTTTGTTTTACAATAACTATTTAAGCTGCTGTTTATCTTAATAATTACAAACTCATTCATTCAGACAGAGCTTGCTTCGCAAAGGTAAATCACACAAACTGCACAAATAAAAATGACTATTTTGGAGGGACTAATCATATGTTAAAAGGTAGCAGTTTGTCAGAAAGGTCAATCAAGGTTAATAGGCGCTAATCTGACTCATATTCTTAGGAAGACTGTACGGTTGTATCACACCTGCTTAACTTTTTTTCCCCAAACTACCTGCCCTGGTTTAAGCAGGGATAGGGTGGGGGGAAAAACTTCTAAGAACGGTATTCAGTGTCAGGAGAAACATTAAAACTGAGAAATGCAGTACTAATCATGTAAATATTTAATTATACTTACATACTATATGGTATGTATATGTGTACATAAATCATGTCACTTAATTTAACTATCACGTTACTTCCCAAAATTTCACTAAAATCCCAATAGAAACAGCAGGAACTGAAGTAACAGTACACTTCTCATTTCAACAGCTATGTGATGTAGGAAAAACTACACTGTGCAAAGCAATCACTTAATAGTAACAGTGCTCTGGGAATAAGAACTATGTTCTCCTAATTAAGGACCATTAAAAAATATAAAATCACTTGTTAATTATTCTGGCAATAAATGGCTCTTTTCAATTGAACTGTGTTCTTAAAATGCCAAGCATGGGTCAGACCTTTGGCTGACCTAAATTTATATAGCGCTACTTAAAAGCAGCAGAATTACGTCAATTAATCCCAGTAGGTACACTAAACATGTATCACGCTATATAACCAAAGTGCAAACATGAAATAAACACAATCTGTAAAATGCTGACTACCACTTACTGCAAATGGAACAGAGAAATAGCAACCTTCAGAGCTCCAATGCCACAACAGGCCAGATTTGAAGAGCACCACCACCTGCATCAAGCTCTTTTCAGTTATGCACCACTCCCTAGAGAAGTTCTTGCTGCACTGACACATGCTTCCCTGCAGTTAACCTATCTCTGTGGCACAAACTGGTAAAACTAGTAACTATTCAAGTACATTAGGACAAAATTGAAAATTACACTAAGATGGAACAACTCAAAAAATGAAAAAAGTTCTTAAATGAGCCTTTCTGTAGAACAGGTTTGTGTGTTATCTGTTACCAGATCCAGCCTCAAAATATGAAATTCAATTCTAAGTTGACTAATGAGAAAAGAAAACAACAGGATTCCTAAGGAGGACAATCATAATTCACTTCAGATCTACCTCTCAATACAAGAAGTTTTTAAGAACGTTGCTTCCATCACATTCTGAATCAAGCCCAACTATATTCTCGGTTATGCAATCCTATTTTTTGACAGTCATGCTTGTTATTGGTACTAGACAGTTACAAACCCTAACTTAAAAATACAATTTTTTTTTCTCCATACGCTGTAAAATACTGTAACTGAAATCATCTGACATTTCGTCTTAGAGCACACTGTAGCAATTGGCCATCTATTCGCATATTTTTTATATTACATATCCTAAGCACATTCGTATCTCATAACTGGCTGTAATGATCATGGCAAGGTCACCTAGAAGAGTCAATTAAGCTGATGACTCAGATACATTGCTTAACAGTGTGTAATAAGACACAAACAGAGAATTTTATTGTTCACGTTATTGCATCATAGTGATGTTATAACAGGAAGATTACTGTCTGGAAAAAAACCTATTGCATAAACATAGTTTGCATAACTATCTGCTAAAATAAGTCAATTTAAAAGGAGCTAAAGTTTCATTTCTGATTTTTATTTCACAATAAAGATTTGGAAAAAAAAAACAGCATGGTACTGGTATCTTTTGTGGAATGTGCACTACTTGCATTGCCATACACAACGTCTGCACATTTAACGAACTTCAGCTCAAACATAAGAAACACCATTATTCCTTAAGAAAAGATTAGATGTGGAGGGTCAATTAAGTTCATATTGCTCATGGGAAGGTTGTAAGGTTTTTGACACCTTCCAGATCTGTTCTTTTTACAAAAAAAAAAAAAAAAAAAAAAAAAAAAAAAAAAAAAACACCAGCAGAAACATGAAGCTCCAAAGTCAAATCCTCAAAGCTGGATAAATAAGGATAAGAGTCTCCTACAGAATGAGCCAAAAATAGAAAAGAAAAAAAAAAAAATGGAAAGTAGACTGTTGTAAAGAGATTTAGTACTTCAACAGTCACAGAAATATGTCTATAACATGAGAGTGTTTGAAGTATTATCTTCAATTCAGTGATATTGCAGATCTTTTATTCAGCAATCCTCAAGCTGTTGGCTTAAACTGGGTCTGTAGGTCACAGCCCAAATCCTTATTCATTCACATTTCTTATCAAAATCAACATTTTGATTGAACGAGGAGTGTAAAAGTGATGCATGCAGCATTGTTTTAAACTGCCCCCTGGATTGAATTAATTACCGAGGAGGGAAAAAATGACTCAAAGTAGGTTACGCATACAGGAGTGAGCACAATGCAGCTGAGAACAACCATTCAACTCACAAGAACAAGGAAAAATCAGGCTGCTTGCTGCTCTTAACAGAACTCCAGGGGTTCACTATCGGAGCTGAACTTGACCCCCACAGCCAAGCAGCAAGCGACAAAAAAGTTTGTATATTACTGACACTACTGCACTTTTTGAATACTTTTGAATACTTCACTGTTTCTATCTACAGCAAATACTATGAAACACAGGGCAAGCGTATGCAGAGCTAACATTACCTTTAGAGGTCCTGGTCACAAAGAGTGATTCTGGTTCTCTCTGGTTGGAGGATCTTTACGGACACACGTAAAAACTGCCAAACGCTTAAGGCAGCGCTCGCAGGGTTGCTCCCGGAAAGCACGAAGCACTGCCTGACCCCAGAGCAGCGCTGTGCCACGGAGTACCGAAGTGACTTGGCAAAACAGCACCATTGGGCAATAGCCATTTTTGACTCGCCTGTTACGTAAGGAGAACGCCGAAAACATGGGCATGGCGATGGGGCTGCGCCTCGCCCGCAGGCACTGTGCACCGCAGAGCACGGGCCCTTTGTCTGCTGCTGCAGCCCGGACACGACGAGCTCTGGGCCGTGCCGCCCGGCGGTTTCGCAGCCACGCTGCGAGACGCGGGGGCCACAAAGGCGGCCCGGCCCGGCTCGCTCCCTCCGCGCGGTCCCGCGCCGCCGCCGCCGCCCCCCCGCCCGCTTCGGCCCAGAACAAAGGGCTGCGGGGTAGGGGAAGCGGCAGCGCCCCCAGCCCTCACCCGCTGCCGCGGGGCGCCTGCCGGCCTCCGCCAGGCCGCAGCCAACGGCCGCCAACGGCCTCGCGGATAAGGGACGCGGCGGCCTCACGGGGAGCGGGACCGGGGCGGCGGCGCCCCCGGCGGCCGCGCTGCCCACCGCGGCTGAGGCTGTCATACTGACCTACTTGTGCACCGTGGGGCGGGGCCGGGCCGCGCTGCGCCGCCGGCCGTGGGGCGCCGTCCCGCTGCCGCTCGGCGCGGTGACAGCTTCGCGACACGGCCCTTCTCACAGAGACGGTCTCTTTTTCGAGGAACGGGGGCCGAGAGCCGAAACCGGGGCACGGCGGCGCCCGGCGGAGCGCCTCCGCCAGTAGCGCCCGACCGGAGCGGCTCCGCGGGCGCGAGGCTCGCAGCCGGGACGCGTCGAGTACCGCTGCCAGACCGCGGGGACTAAACGTACCGGGGCGGACCCTGCGACGGGCACGGCGCGGCAGCCCCGGTCGCTCCGTAGCGAGGCGGATCCCCCGCCGCGCCCGGCCCGCCGCCAGCGGCCCCGCGTTACATAATGCCACATTTCCAGGAACTACGATGCGGCCCGTCCCGCGGCGCCGGCAATACTGCGACAGCGCTGACGGAGCCGCCCGCGCCGCGGCATCCCGCCCGCACCCCGCCCAGCGGCGCGTCCTGCTCCGGGCACGGAAGGCCGACCCCGAGGACGCGGGGGGCGCAGCGCTGGAACTCGCAGCGCAGCGTTCGGCGGCGGCCGTCGGCGTGAAGCGCGTTATGTAACGGCCGCCACGGACCCGGGCGACGCGCGGTCGCGGGAGGGCGCCGCCAGTCGCAAAGCAACGCAACGCAACGCCTCGCCCCGCGCACGACTGTACCCGCCGCGCCTTCCTACCTTGAGTGTTCGGCGGGGCGCCAACCATCCGGCGAGCGAAGCGAGGCGAGAACGCTGCGCTGTGCCGAGTCGTGCCGTGCCCCTGGCAGCGTCGCCCCGCTTGCCCGTACGCGAGACGAGCGAGAGCGTGCAGCGGCCACGGCGGCGCGGAGGGATGTGTGTTAGTAGGTCAGAGTTGCGCGGCACGGAGCGCGCATCCCGCATGCCAGCCGCGCCGCACCGTGACTGGCGGCCGCCGCGCCCCAATCGGCAACTGGCGCCTCCGAGAGACGGCCAATGAAGGCGGGCGGAGGCGGGGCGAGGCGGAGCAAGGGGGGGGGGGGCGTGGTACAGTAGGTCTGTGTGCTGGCGATTGCATAACGGCCGGCGGGATTGGGGGTGGTGCGACGAGTACTGGCACTTACGTAACCAGGCGTGCGGCGATCGGGGGGGGCGCTAGGCCCGCGGCTCCGCCCCTGCGATGGGTCTGGCGGTCGGGCTGCGGCAGAGGCTGTGGGGGGGTTTCCTGAGGAGTTCGTGTTCTTCGGCGAGAGGCTCGGCCGCTGGTGCAGGGGTCGGGGTGCAGGCGGTTGTCCGGGCAGGGAATGGCAGGTCGTCTTTCCGTCTTGTATAGCGTAACGAGATGGTACGTTGTATGGGCAGCGGCGCGGCCGTGTCACTAACAGCGGCAATCCCCGAGCCGTGCAACCCGCGCCCTGCCTAATGCCACTGCCCCGCCGCGCGGCACGGCTCGCCCGCTCACGAAAGTGGCAAAGGGGGAAGCGGGACACGGCGCTGTGCAGCCCCACACGGGACGCGGCCGTCCTTTCCGCAGAGCAGGAATGAGCTATAGCCCGGCCTCGCCCGAACGTCAGTGCAGTGCGGTGACCCTCAGTGTTCTCTCACATGCATCCACGACAGAGATAGCAGAACAAATCGTTTATTAAATCCTAGTTCCGAAATGGGAAGGATGGCTTACTTCATTCCATGAGCCACTCACACCAAAAATACAAACGTGTTATGTTATTCTGTTACCATGCGCTGGTATTTCTGCAGAGATTATTCTTTGGATCAAAGCCGTTCTCACAGAAGGCAAATTCAGAAACCAGCAGAGTTTAAGAGAATGCTTTTCGGTTTATCTTGGCCCTGATCTTTTATCATACTCACCCATATCATTCCTCTGCAATAAATCCAAGTTCCTCGAATTCATCTGTATCTATCTGTATCTATCTCCCCAGAACATTTATTGTGACCGTCTAATAACCTCTGCTGGCACTGACTCTCTCCCCTTCCCTGATTGCTGATACCTGGAGCATAGAGCCATGGCAGTGGCAGCCCTGCAGAGTCTACTGCTGCAGAAAAGGGGTGCAGAGGCATCACAAGCTGGAGGAGCAGTAGTCACGTTCATCTGCACTTCATTTCTTTGCCGTATGTCCCCTCGTAGGTGGACACATGTCCATACAAAGACAGTCAGTGTCAGAAGTGAGCTTTAGCCATGAACTTTTCGCTCATAGACTTTTTTTTCTCATTGGTGGCCTCTTCACAGTCCTAAGCACAGACCATCTGTGTAAAGAAATCTGAGCAACATGTGCATGGGGATAGAACAGCATGGTCTTTAAGGTCCTTCCATCCCAAGCCATTCCATGAATCTATGATTCTATGTTATTTCTCATCCTATACCTTTTGCATTAATATGAGGTTGTTCTGAAAGTAATACCTCTTATTTATTTCCCAGGAAACTACAACAGATAAAAAAAGAACAAGAGCAAATTCTCAGCTACTGAACACTATTTTTCAATGCAGTCATGACCATTTGCTATGCACTGTCACCAGCAGCAAACAAGAGATGCATGCCGTACTTGTAAAAGTCTGTACCAGTGGACGTGACCCACTGTCACTGCTGCTGAAACGTGCTATCCACCACCACTGTGCTCATGTCCGCTATTTGTTTTCCTTAAATGCACAGAAAATATCAGTGAATATCAGTGGGTGCCATTTTTTTCTGCGTGGAGGAATTCAGTGATATATCTTTACTTCATCTGCACTTCTATGTTAATTGCTGTTTTGTCAGACTAACCCTCTGCTGCCACCTGTCACACAGTAACAAGATGTAATGAAATATCAGTGGGAAGGTTCAACCTCTACTGCCATACTGTCAACATCCACCTCTGTGTCATGGGCCAACACAATAAAATAGATGGCATTACTTTCAGAGAAGCCCTTGTACATTGTGGTGGGAATCTGCAGGACTGTCAAAAACACTATCAACCCCCAAAGATTCAGGCAATTTTTAAAATTGAAAAGTACACCCCATTTTTACAACGGAAAATATTTTTTGTGAACCCTATGCATATACTTTTGATAGCTTAAATTTTGTATTTAGAATAAATAAATACTGTGCCTCAAATCTGCCTTCATAACTTAGATTCTTGAGATACAGAAGTATCCAAGCAATAATATCCTTCCTATGTAGGTGGACAGTCCTGGAAATAATATTCCAGATGGAGTTTGCTTGTCTATTTGCTTACATTTTTGTCACAAATTATAATCAGCTATACAGGCAGACATGATCTTTCTCCTAGATACATAACAAGGGTAACTTCTACATTTCATGTTACTCCTACTCTGTCGATGTAAGAAGAGTCAAAAGAGTCAATTTTGGTCAGTGCACCAAAATCTGTACTGACTTTCCCAGCTTTCCTGTGGGTGCTTGATAAACCTGAGAGTAAAGTGAGGTGGAGGGCAGAATGCTGATGTGGCTGAACATACCATTTCTCCTGCTTTCTTAAGACACAGGGACAAAAAATAGCACAGTAGAGAGCCGTTGCTAGCTTTCTGCACAAAGGGAGTCCACTGGCTTCAGTATAACTCCGAAAACAGAATATTTCTGTGATTGCTGACCTCTGCTGATTTTCCTCCTGGAGGGCTGAAGTAGGTCATGCAGCTCTTTAGATAAATTCTTAGCTGACTGCAGGATGGTGGCATTTATACTTGCTTTTGGACAGCACAATATTGCCTTCAGCTTCTTCAGATTCGTCTGTATTTATTAGCAGGTGACTTAAACCCTCTTAACACTATTTCTGATTTTTGTTTAATGAGTATTGCTGAGCTGAATAACAGTACTACAGGCAGGGTCTAAAAAAAGAAACATCTGAGAAGCAATTGAGAAATATATGGAAGAAATTACTGTCTGCCATCTTTAACATTTTCTGACTCCTTTCTGTGTGTTTGTGTTCACACATCTTGAGTTTCTTGTAATAAAAACTTCGAGTTTGACCATGTCTGAAATTCAAGATCAGCTGAATTCTACAGAAAAATCCTAATGCCTTTAAAGAGAAAAATCTATAATCCCTTGCATTTATTACAGTTCACATACAGCACAAAATAATCATCAAAATAACTTACAGTTTGGAGAGAAATAAAAGAAAAATGCTCTAAAAGATCATGACATAACAAACATATTTTAATGGTTTTATATACATGTATATATCCACACCCTGGAATTACTGAAAATACAGCAACTTGTGTTGTAATCCTTGGTTTCCTTGCATTACATTATTTATAGCTATATGTGCTTTATTATACAACAGTGGAATGAGAGCAAATTATATTCACCAATCTTTTCATATATTTAATGTGCTCAGAAATGTTTAATACTAACCAAGTCCTTCAGGGCTTGCTGCTCAAGATGAGTATTTATGAAAGTTCTGTAGAATAGGTGATAATGTGATTTTATAAAGATCTAAGCCAGAAATAAAGTATCTTAAAGAACAAGTCAAGTCATTTGACTACAGTTCAAAATATTAATCCAAATATTGTCATGCATCTGGGAACATTTGTGGAAACTGTACTGGAAAAATATTTGTGCTGTAATGTACTCTTGCTAAAAGCAAACCCAAGAGAAACAGATATTCACAC